TCCGGTGTCGTTGTGCGCTTCCAGGCGATTGTATAGCTGTGAATGATCAGCGCATAGCTCCCTGAGGTACTCCGGCTGTCCAGCGTCGCATGACGTACCCAACTTTCTTGTCGAACTTGATGAGGAAGAGCGCTTCAACGCGGGGCGCGTCTTCGCTGTGAGAATCTACATTGGTTGCGCTCGATTCGGTCGAGGCCGACATATTGGATGGGAATTGGGCGAAGGTGGACTGCTGCTGCTGCTGCGCAGGCGGCAGTCGGTGATGCGCCGCGTCCCAGGAACGCTTCGCTTACTCCTGCCCGTCGCCCCTTCTCCGGCCATACTCGTCACTGCACATGGGAAACATCTCTTCGATACCCACCTACGGTCTGTTGACATTTTTTACTCTATCGTACAGTTGCTGCAATTGCTACACGCCGCTCATGAGAATCTCATGTTGCATTCAACGATAGTGCTATTCGCCATTGGATTACTCATTGCGCCGGCACCAACAGCTTCCTTCGCTCAACAAGTTGGATGTGCGTTACGGAATTTGTAGCCGGCGACAAGAGCGGCTATATGGAAAGCCTGGCCAACTACAGCGCAAACATGATGTATCTGGTGAGAGTGGCCCCAAATATCGAACGAGCCTGGGCTCAGTCTCTCTGGAAACCTACCAACGAAACATGAGACCCCAAGCAGAAGAACCAGCCCTTCTGCAACATACCACTGAGCTCCTATCTCAACACACGCACGACTCCATCCAAGCTTGCCGACGCCATGGAACATTGGGAGCATTGCTGTAAGGGCGAGCGCACTGAAAATACTGCCACGAAGCGTTCTCATCTTGTTTCCACCGCCGCCACTATCGAACAGCATTGCAGCAGCAGCGATAGCGGCGCCGCCATTGAGACACCAATATACTTGTTGAGCTACTGGATCACAACGAACGGCATAATAGTTGGCTGATGATCCACCGCCCATACCTAAGAGACAGATGCCGAAGATGTCGAAACGGCCCCAGAGATGGTGAATGTTGTAGGAATGACTCCGAAGTGTGTGGAACGTTGCGCTGAGCCCAAAGCAGAGAGCTGCTGCGCTTAGAGAAATACCGAAAGCGAATTTGTCGCCTGTGCTCAGGTCAAGCTTGGTCGAGATAGCAAGTGTGTGTAACCCGATGCCAGTCCCAACGAATGCGGTACTCCCAAGAAGGTGGGTCCAGATATTCATCGTTTCCATATGAAGGCAACGCCAGAGCCGAAACGATCGTTTGTACGAATGAGTCGGCATTGGATGTCCAGTGATGATGAAGTCGTTATCATGAAGCCATGTCGGAATGTCGTCTTTGGTTCCGATTGTAGGCCAATGTGGCTGGGCATCTTTCTTGCCGTGGAGTGTTGGGCAGGCGTTGGAACCCAGTGAAGTGGTATTGGGTGAGCGTACTGCGTCCTTGGCCATATTGGTAGCTTCAATGTGTCGCGACTCCAGCCCTGGAGTTGTTGTCCAAACAGTTATATCATTATCAAGATACAGACGCCATTGGTTGTAGTGTCCAATACAGGCAACAGTTGTGTAAGAAGAATATGTGGAGTCAAACACCTGAATTGCTTGGGCCTGATGTGTCTAATTAGCGTTTGCACCTACCACTCGTTGCTAGATATGTGAAGGGCGTTCGTTGACTCAGTTGAACTCCAACGTATCTCGGTGTGCAGTATCATCGCGGCGCAGCCTCCCAGGGCTACAATTCCTCGCTAATCCAAGGCTTCTGTGGTCATATATGTAAGTAAGATGCCACGATCTCTGATGTCGACTTGGTCAGTATCAGGTATGCTAACAATGCTGTAGCTACCGGGCAGTCCTGCGCATGCAGCTATGATGTCACCGGTTTCGTGAACAGCCATTGCGGGCATTCCCTAACGATCCTTCTGCCAACATTTGTACAAACGGAGAAATTGCGTCCCTTTGTCTGGGGAAAGCTTACGCTCTCTCCGCGTGATTGCGTGGGAAATGGTTGCACGATAGTGGAGATTTCTTTGAGTCAGACAAATACCAGTCGGACTGTATGGCGTTCGACGTGGCTATGCTGATCCTCATTAGGAACATATCCTTGGAGCTCGAAGCGTATAACTTGCGAAGTCGCATGTTTTCCCTTAAAATCTGACGTCCATAATGCGTGGAAGCCTTGTCGAACGTATGCCTTCAAGATGCTGCTGGTGCCAACCTGAGCAGATCGCAAGCCGTGCTCACTAATCAACAATCACTGTTCAAAAGGCCCTGCTGAACCAGGCCTCATAGTGATCATAATATCACAGAGATGCCCATGGGCAGTTCAAAAGTCGTCAGATATCGAGTCTTGCCCGTATGGCGACTGTGAATTACGGATGTGTGACAATTGCCGTTGATGGTGCGTGCGTGAGTTGCGCGGGCAGTGGATACAAAACGTGCAGTCGGCCTTTTTCTCGGCAAGACCCACCAGAATGGATAATCACGAAGCCATCAAACTGCAATGAACTCCATTTAGACACCTATGCATTGAAATTGCGTCGAATTCAATGCATGGAGTCAGCGTTTGCATAAGGTCTGACGTCATGGCTAACGTACCTGCCACACACAGAGTGCACTGGCCATGCCGCTGCATCCGCCGACCACTCGAGGCATCCAAAGCTGGTTGCTTCATCACTTATAGCACATTGGCCTATCCGCCAATAAGGAGCAGACCGCACCTTTAGCTTGTACTTTGATCCAAGCTCTCGCACTCCCGGTTGTTAGGAATGTCATCGTCTTCTCTCAGAGATATCGCGCCGCGTCCACAAGACTTGGCTGCTGCCGCCGCTGTTAGTAGAGCAACTCCTACCAGTCGCAGGCCGTCACGCGTGACAGTCGCATGTCTGCCCTGCCGTGGCCGACGCACCAAGGTCTTTCACCGAATTCTTTGCTAGTAACGACAGCAATTCCGTGAAGTCGAAGCTGACACACGACAGTGTGACGGTGGCAGACCGACATGTCGCTCTTGCTCGGAGAGAAATTCACAATGCGGATACGACCCACCCCTCATTCAGGCGCAAAAAAGAAAGATTGAAGAACTGGAGGACGATAAAAGTTCGATGTATGAAGTTTTGTGGTTCCTACAGACGGCTTCACCTGACAAAGCCACGGCCTTGCTGCAGCACCTGCGAGCGACCCAGGGTGACGATCTGGGGGTCATCTTCAAGAACTTCGAAATGGGCCGTCGCAGTTCTTCCGAGTCTGGGCCTGCATCTGAGACCAAAGTTGGTAAGAACGATTCACCACCGACATTTACGGATTCTCCCTCATCGACAATGCTTTCTGTCCCTGAGATAATGGATCATCCCCGATTTTCTACTGTTCGAAAGGGCCAGACCAAAGTCACGGGCATCACTCTGCTTGCTCCAAACCACGAAAACGCAAGTGTTTCCAACGTCCACGGCCCATTAGAGATGTTCTTTAACTGTGTGGGAGCACTCTTTTACATTATGAATAGGAACGACGTCCAAGCATGCATCGAAGCAATCAAAGCCTCCGGAAACGAGAACATGCCACTCGGACACATGTTCAGTAACGGAAGTACAATCGAACTTCGTACTTATGCCGCAGAAATTGCGGGTATGGCCTCTATCGGTGTTATACATTCACAGCTAGCCGACCCCACAAAGGCACCGCCTCCCGAGCTTGCCGATTACTTCTACGCAGTCGCCAAACATGGCCTGGACTCTGCGATTCTTCACGATCCGCTTCGAGCCATGAATGTTTGCGCGCTGCTTGGCATGTATAACATCGTCGTCAAGGCGACAGTTGCTCTGGCTTACATTGGTACGAGTCACACTTGGGTATACCCACGAGAAATGAGCCACTAATGACTTTCAGAACTTGGTCTGAGCCTTCCTCGCAACCGCAAAATATCTCTCGAAACATGTCCGCCAGACTGGTCCCCAAGCTACTACGACGACATTCGTCGCACGCATATGACTCTTGTCCACTTGCAATGGTCAGTTTGGCATGCCTTTAGTTATGTGTGATATATCACTGACTACTTCGATAGCTGGCTGAGCGCATCTCTTGACTACAACTCTGATTCGTTAACCTTCGACGTCCACTCATCTCTCAATGGACTAGACGCGCCGCCCCAGGACATGATTCGACGCGAATGCGTTAAAGTTTCCATCATCAAGGCAAGCTTACTTCACCGTCTACCAAACAAGGCGCCTGTACCGGAAAATGTCACGCTAGAGTTTCGCGCGCAATTATCGAGATTCCATGCGCAACTCCCCGACTGGATGTCAGTTGCTGCGCTGTTACGCGGCGACAGCAGCCCGCTGATGGCCACATTCCGTCCAGTAATATTCTATGTTCATCTCTTTTACCTTTCGGCTATGATGCTGCTTGCTCGGCGGCTAATAATTGCATACATCCCGCTCGATGCAGTTGGCATCGTAGTTCTTCCACCAGAAGCACGAAGGGCTATCGAGGAAGGATACCAAGCTGCGGAAACAAACGCGTCTGTCATGAGTCTCATGCTACAGGAAGGGAAGGTAGTACAAGTTTGCTGGCTCTGCATGTGAGTCAGGCGTATGCCACGGTGGCGAAGGATGCTAACCCAGAATTCCAGTTACACAGCCTACACGGCGGGAGTCATGGTCGCTTACCAGGCATCGCAGAGGGCTCTGAACAACGAGCCATATACTGACGACGTGAAACTGCTGGAAAAATGCATTAGTGTTCTCGAGTACTGTGCGATCAAAGACACGCTTGCTGGCAGGTTTCGTAACATTCTTGCAGCTCACATGGGGAAGCTGCAAGATTACAGATCTCAGACAAGGGATGGTGAAGAGTTCGCGACGCCCCCGACTTCTCTGGCGAGTGACAGCCTCTTCTTCTTTGATCGTGGTTCATCTGAGCTTCACGCAGCAGTTTTTGACTTACTTCGCCTCATACATCGCCCATTCAGTGGCCTGAAAGACGTCGCGACAAAGAGTACTCTCTCGAATCGCGCCGAGACAACTATGGGCACCCACCTTGAGTGGGAGTACGAGCTCAAAAACAGAGACGATCCAGAAGTACCACCGAACGTAGATGAGGGTGCATGTGTGACTGATGTCAGATGCGAGCCAACGCAGTCTCAGTGTTCGCCCTTTGACCCAATTTGCGCTTCGCAAGAGCTGTCGGCCCCGCCTTCGGAGGAAGCCTGGACAAAATGAACTCCGGCAACGTGGCAAAGTTCCTTTCACACATCACCAAAATGAGTTCGAAACCTCGTTGGCCCTTCTACGAGCACGATGATACGGTTCACACGAGATGTTACACACGTTGGCTTTCAAGGCCACACCATGGTACGCGTTCTAGGAGTAAGATTCGGAACCTTGCCAGCTCTCACGTAGCCTGGCTCCTTCCGCGTCCGAAAAGTGACGGCGATAGAACTTGACATGGTGTCTTTGTTATGGAAGGGTGCTTCCGGTACCACAATGTAATCCATGGGACGAACCTATCCAGAGCTAGAGGAATCATACACTGCCCATTTTCCTTTTATACCCATCGATATTGAAATTCCACATTTACAGAAGTTTGTATACCATGGGAAGCGCGACACGGGCCTAATGGTCGGTAACGTTGAATCTTGCACAACCTATCCCGCAGCTTTACATACGTCATAACCCCGCTTCAAACTATAGCAACTGCTCGACGCATTTGAACTGCGCTGCCAAATCATTCCATCTTCTCGTCAACATAATCATTATCACCACACCTCGTCATGACACATCCTCCACCTACCCATATGGCGACGAAAGATCTTTTTAGGCTAAATGAACGGACTATCATAGGTACGGCTTATCAATCGACGTATGGACTGGAGCTGACACAGTCTTCTAGTTTCCGGAGGTGCCGGTGCAGTAGGTACGGCCGTAGGTGTAGCGATTCTAGAGAGTGGCGCAGATGTTGTATTTGTCGATGTCTCCGACCCCACTCCCGAGAGTTGGGGTACGCAGCGCATACAAGCTTCCAAATTTGATCTCATGTATAACTGTGACCAGATCGGATTCAGGAAGTTGCGCGAGGTAATCACACCCATGCGCTATTTCAACGCCTCGACGTCCAGGATGAACCCAGCATCACATCAGCCTTCGACACCATCCGTGCTAAGCTTCGTCATCCGATCCGGGGGCTCGTCTCCTGCGCCGCCATCTCCGGCGAAAGCGATGCTTGTTCGTACCCCATCGACACGTTTCGTACAATCCTCGATATTAATATCTCCGGCACCTTCCTCATCGCCCGTGCCGTAGCGAACGAACTGCACAACGCCAATCAATCGGGCAGTATCGTCCTGTTCGCCTCGATTTCAGGTCACATTTCTAACCATGGAATCAACACTGCCGCGTACAATGCTTCGAAAGCGGCAGTGCATCAACTTGCTCGATCGCTTGCCGCGGAATGGGGTCACCCACAGAACACTTTTCCCGGTAGCACGGTCACGGAAACAAACCCAAATCCCAGCCAAGAGCCACGAAAAGCTTATCCGCCGATTCGAGTGAATACTATCAGCCCCGGTCATATTGACACGCCTCTGAGCGCGGAAGCGCGGAAGAGGGGGTTGACGGACGAGTGGGCGAAACAGAATATGCTGGGGAGAATCTCGGTGCCCGAGGAGTTCCGAGCGCCGGTGTTGTTCTTGCTGGGTGAGGGAAGCAGTTATGTCACTGGTTCTGTAAGCCTCTCTTCTTTGACAGACATAGAAAGAGACGAGAATGCGAAGCTGACATGTCATGTGTAGGATTTGAGGGTCGATGCAGGGCACTGCGCGTGGTAGATTCCGACGAAAGAGATGCACTCGTTGATTCATGCGTCTGAAAGAGACAAAGGTATATATATACAAGAAGAATTGTAGAAGATAACCGGCAAATGTGGGCCATCTACTGTCCCAGCACCAACGCCTCGCTCGTTCGTAACCTTTTATACAATGCGATGTATCATCTACTAGCACCAACTCCGCGCTTCTCATCATGCATCAACAACGTAATCTTTCGACCCTCTACTCGTTGATCCTGTGCTGCCAGACTTCCTGCTCCGCCCTCGCAGAGTAAGTGCTAGCACCAAGAATAGCCCTCATCTGGTCAACACCAGTGAAGAGAATCTGCCTAGCAACGAACCAGCGGATACCCTCAGTGCAAGGAGGGCTGGTCAAGCTACCCTGGTACGTCCAGAACTCGTTGAAGTAAAGCACGCTCTCGAGCAGAGGAGCAAAGTCCATAGTAGTAGGCTCTTCGACGCCCATCTCGGTGTAACCAATCATGGCGGGCAGTTGCTCGAAGAAAGTCGAGTTGGAGTTACCAGGGTCGAGACGGATAGCCATGACGGCAGCTTCGTGGCCTTTAGCGTCGACGTGGACGAGATGGAGTTCGGCTTTGCTGCGGTCGCCACCGACGGAATGGTCGGCTGGGGCGTGGATGTGCCAGCCCTTGAGGTAAACGGTCTCGTTGTCGTAGGTGAAGCTTGGGTGGGCGGTCCAGTCAATGTCTTCCTCTGCTGCCTTCTCATCGTGTGCAACGGTGAAGGCGGGACCGTAGCCCCAGTTGTAGAAGTTACCGGCGATGCTGCCGTTGTACTTGAAGGTGGGCACGTGGTTCAGAGCCAGTCCGTTGCCTAATGAGAGTGCGATGGGAGACTGCTGGGTTCCAGTTTGGCAGAGGTGGTAGTCGGGGCTGATCTTTCCCCAGTTGAAAGATGCTTCGTAGGCCCAGTCATTCTGAGTTACGTTGGTACCTGGGGGCACTTGTTGTCTTGTAGTGAGGTGTACATTGCGTTTGGCGTTGGTGTGTTGGGGACAGCTGAGTGCTGTGGGCGCTAGAGTGGCGGCGGCGAGGAAGATGGATTGGAACAGCATGTTGACGATGCTAGTCTTTGTGTGATGTGAGTGTCGGAGGACTTGGTCGAATGACTGAATTGGCTGCTGTGATGGAAACTTGCTCGTCGTGCGAGGACATCTTATATATAGTTCAGTCGGACCATGGAATGTTCCTCCGCCTTCACAACGACTACCCTAGCCCTTCAAGCAAAGGTCTCAGCCATGTCCTTCAATTCTGCCAAGCAGTCTTCACACATGCTCTTTTCGTGCGCCATGGAAGGTCTCCCGCCGCCAAGTACCCTATCTTTTCACTACCGTTGCGCAGCCTCTTTGCTTGCGCAGTAAGTACCATTTGGAAAAGCACTTGGTTTCCTTGGGAGACGGCACGCGCTTGTATGTTGGAAACCAAACATCCAGCCCATTCCTCGTAGCAGTTCGAACGCCAAGCATGAACCCTGTTTGCGACAAGAAACGCTTGTTGACCGAAGGCGATAGCGCAGGGGCGAGATCGCTCTTTGCCATCTCGAGTTAAGCCAGCGATCTTGGCGGGAAACGGTCGCGCGGCTTCTATCCAATGCATTGATGCTGGGGATTCCGACAAGATGAGACTTGGCGTGGAGAACCATGACTACTGTGTACTGTAATAAGCTCAGCGGACAAGAATGATCGGGAAAGGTCGAGTTGCTTAAATGATGACACGCAGTACGGATGTAGCAGTCGGCCCGTCGCGGGAACGTCAAAGCAAAAACCTTCCCGCTGCTTGATAGCTCTTGACGCGTGGCATAAGCATGATGCGACGACCAGGAAGTCACAGATCTCGAAGACAAACACAATTTGCGATTGTGTAGATCGAAGAACGTGGGAGTAGTTCATGCAGGGCCCACAGATCCGCCTAAATATCCAGACCTAGACCCTTCGAATTACGCTGTGCAACATCACCCATCAATAGCTTGCACGCAGATCGATACCGCCGTGCAGCGCCGCCGCTACTCGTCCAAGGCGTGCAACAATCAGGGAAACATGACCGCTAAAGCGGCGCATTGCTGGATCTGTAGACATGTCCGCCGTCAATCCGGGACAAGTCGACGAAACAGAAGCGGGCCGACGAAAGCTCTCTGTTCAGTCATCAGGTTGTTTCCGCTACAGCCTTGGCGTGTATAGTGTCCAAACTTGCCAAGGAGGCGAGCTGCTTGGATTCAGTGCGTACTAGACACGAGGCGGGACGCGCAGTCGAGAGAAATGACTTGATGCATGACGGCACGATGCTGAGTATATCGAGAGGAGACCGGATGATGTGAGAATACTGCATCCGGCTTCTCCGCATTGTCAACAATGCCCAACTAACTTTACCAACCAATCCATGAAATAAGTGAACACCCACATAACATAGATGACCCACAAGTCTACATTGCCTTAGCGTGTTGTCGGCTTTGTCATTTCTACCATCACGGACTGCAGCGCAGCTGTTCGGTCTCTTCTTTATGAATTTTGTTAAATACACAAATATTTCCTTCCAGCTTGAACGCTTTCTCCCACAAGTAAATTCACGAAAAAACAGGCCCTCCGCCTACCTGCGGGTTACAAGAGGCTTAACTAATAGTCTTAGACTTTTTAGCCTAAAGACAAGCTACAAATAAAAAAATTATTAAATCGCTAAAAGACACCTCTATAACAAGAACTACAAAACTCTATAAGCCCTTTTAGGCTTGAAGATATAACTAAGGCTATAGAATTTAGTTGTAGTAGCGAGAGAAGGGTCTGTAAACGCACCTTATGTTAAAATACCGCTGTTCTAATCTCTACTTCTTTCTCTTACACCCTATCGCCTAGAACTCTAGGTTAGTACTTTGTCTTATTATGCTGCTCTTACTAACTCTAAAGATTCAAAATAGCTACCTTTAATAGTTACTTCTACATTAGCGCACACCCTACTCCCCTAAACTATACCCGCGGGCCTATCGTCCTATTAAAAAACAGCATTAAAACTATAGATCTATACTTACAGGACAAGCTCTTCCTACTACGCCTTCTCTATACTCTTAAGCTAATTAGAAACAGGTATAAAGCTATTATACTCGCTAGTCTAAGGGACCTTAACGACCGTTATAACAGTAAGAGAGTCTAGTTCTAGGTAACTACCTAGCAGGCTCTTAAAATTATACTACTAGGATATTAGTTTCTTCTTAAAGCAATTAAACTTAACTACAGAGATATAGCGCTCGCGAGATACTATATTAATCGCTAATATAACGGGCTAAAAAACTTAATACAGAAGCTTAGGTTCAAGATTAAGATAAAAGAGGAAGAGAAGGTCTTCCTAGATTAGTTGTTCGGCGAAAAGAATATTAAGTAGATAGCGGCTGTACTAAGAGAAGCCAGCTTCTAGTATCAAGAACGGCGGCGGCGGCGGCGAATAATAACAACAAGAAAGGCTTTAGCGGGCGCAATCTCGTAACATGTATTGCTGCAAGAAACAAAGGAACGAGTTGTCAGATTCGAATGAAATTATAACGAATAGTAGACAACATTACCCTAATACTAGAGTATTAATGCAATGCGACCGTCTCTTCTTTATGAGGTGAACGAATCCATTCCTAGCGATCAGTATCCAGGCCAGATTACCTCGTCGCATTCCGGGTGCTTGAAGGCTCCATTGCTCATCTTGTACTCGTATTCCAGATCAGGTTGAAACTCCCAATAAAGGCTCTCAGCATCGGCCCCCATTTTGTATGTATATGCCGCTGCATCGTCGTCGACGTAGACCTTCGGAACGCCGTTGGCCGCTGCCGCTTCTATCTTCAACTGGACATCGCAAGAGCGTTCCATGAGGGTGTACAAGAAGGCGGCTTCGTCGACGGTGCCTCCTACCGTCTGTGTGGTATTAGCTGAATGCCGGTCGCGGTATCGCGCACTGGGGGACGCACCAAGAGGCCATGATTTCGCAGCACCATGCCTTTTCCCTTTGGTCCCAATGCTGCTGCTAGCCTCTTGCCTTCTGCCTCATCGAGGACGACGCCGCCAAAGTCATCATAGACGGCTTGCGCATCGCCGTAGAAGTAGCATACGTCTTGATTCAGCATCTCCAATGGCTTCGCAAAGGCGCTCCACGCTTTGCCTGCCTTTCCATGGCAATGGCATGCCGCGTTGACGTCTGGCCGCGCCTTGTGTATTGCCGAGTGGATAAGGAAGCCAGCTGCGTTTGCAGGTCTGCTCTGGTTTCCCCCGACCACTTTGCCATCGTAATCAACAAGGACCATATCGGATGCCTTCAGGAGACCGAAGTGCTTTCCGAGCGGGTTTGTCCAGAAGTTGTGCGGGTGCTCTGGGTCTCTCACCGAGATGTGACCCGACATGCCTTCGGTCAGGCCGTGCCGTGCGAAGACGCGGAAAGCACCCGCCATGTGCGATAGGATCCATGCGCGCTGCTTATCGTAGGAGGAGAAGAGGGGGATGCCGGGGAGGCAGACGCCCTGCGAGATGGCTTGCAACGGCGTCAATTCCTTCGTCGCGTCATCTTTGGATCGTGGGACAAGCTGCTTGGGTTGCGCGACGGGCGCTGGCTCGACCTGGATAGCGGAGGGTGCCATGTTGGAATGCGATGCGATGCGATGCGATGCGATGCAATGGAGCCTAGCTGTGGGTAAGTAGGCCGTGTAAGTTGCAATGGATCAAAGACGGGCTGGAGTCACAGCTCTGAGATGCGCCGTTGTTATACTCCAGACGACCGCTATCAGGCCGATGTTATCGCCTCAAAGGGCGCGTGAAGTGGAGAAAAGTGCGATAACGGTCCAGTCGAGCTCAAGATGCGCTGCGGGGTGCCGCCCTAGTCGCCGGCCATGCTATCACCGGCCCTTTCTCCACGCCGCTGCCACATCAACATCCAACCAACTCAGCGTACGACGAAGAACATAACCGAACCCTGCAGCCGATAAAATGAAGAGGATGGGAAAATATAGATTTCGGTATTGATGTAGGCGTCTAGATCTTCGACCTTTCCGATGATAGTTAGTCTTCTTGCCTTCTGTTGTAGTCAGTGGCTCAGCAGGCAACGCGTTTGGTTCTTCTACTGGACAGTGTGAGCCCGTTGTTCATGCTAACATTTGAAGGATTACTTAACGGCGAATGACCCGGAGGTAGTCAGCGCTCTGCTTGCTAGTATGAGAAAGATTCAAAAGCTTGCTTATTCCGCAAGCAGCTCACCATGCTTTGTCGCTTCGGTTCCTCTCGCTGGTAATCAGTGGCCTCAGGATCACGAACAAGGATTAGACGTCGTCGATCTTCTGTTCTCGCCCCTCGTACCGGTACCTTAAGTGCAACTCACCATCTCATATACATGGCAGCGTTGGGGCCAATCTCGGATAACATCCTACAATACGTCTTTCTTCGACCGGACGCAGAATTTATCCAGGCAGATGAAGGCGGCTCGTTCGAATGTGATTAGCAAGAGGAAGGTAGTTCTGCTTGAAGATGTTGTCGATTTGGGACGTTGATAAAATGCTGAGAAGAAGTCATTGCGTACGTATACCCCTAGGCCTACATCGACGTTATTTCGGGATCTGGCAGACATAAACATGTTACTTCGTTCTTTCGCAGCCAAGATATGAGACCCGGAGCATCTCGTCAGCCCATCGAAGTCTCGGTGGCATTACAACCGAAAGGTCCGCCCCACCACTGCGCAGCCGCAAGGTAGGTCCTCCCAAATCACGATAGCGGGGTGCATCTTCGTCGCGAGAGCAAGTAATTATCCCGCCAGCCCAGCCAACATGGTGCTGTGCCTTGCTGTATACGTCCGACATCCCACGTCCTGGAGTAATTTCTGCAAGACATACATAAACCCTCCCGGCCGACACGATGGCCGAGAGCGCTCGAGATGCGATATTTAAAGAGGGCAATTCTGCCTTCCTTGATCAAATCATCCACCCCACGTTATTCACTCCCAGCATTCAGACCTCAAGTATCATTCAGGATGTCTTCAGGAAAGACCGTCACCCTTAACTCTGGCCACAAGATCCCGTATGCTGTTCCAGCCTTTTGCTTATAATGATTCGTTGTTCTGACGTCGCTTTAGTCAATTGGGATATGGTACCTGGCAAGCCGCTCCTGGTGAGGTCGGCAACGGTGTCTACGAGGCACTAAAGATCGGATACCGTCACTTGGTAAGTCTCCGAGACCCTGAAGACCCTGAAACAGTTTGCATCCATCTTTTGAACGACAATTGCGATCCGTTTCCAACGGCTAACTCGATCAAATTAGGATCTTGCAAAGATGTATGTTCACCATGACAACTTACACTCACAATGCCGTTTCCACCCATCTCACTTCGGCCTTGCCTCCACCTGACGTGGAACAATTACCCGTCCGCGTTGTTGGAAGTCCAACTGCAATGCCCCTCAGTGGAGATGGAAGCTTAGGAAGCTATGACCATACCCCACTAGCATTCCCGAGAACACAAGCTGACGAGATATTCCACCAATCACAGCTACGAGAACCAAAAGGAAGTTGCGCAGGGCATCAAGCGCGCATACAAGGACATCCCAGGTCTGAAGCGTGAGGACATCTTCATCACGGGAAAACTGTGGAACTCTCAGCATGATCCTGCCACTGTAGAGGCGGCTCTCGATGACACTCTCGCTGAACTTGAGCTGGAGTATCTCGACCTGTACCTCATCCACTGGCCTGTCAACTTCGGGCCTGGAAAGGACCCTCACTCGGATCTGTTCCCCATGACATCTGATCCTAATGAGGTTAACATCGACAACTCCATCCCTAACAGCGAGACATGGAAGGCCATGAACAAGCTGCCAAAGAGCAAAGTACGCTCGGTCGGCGTCTCCAACTTCACATACCAAACGTTGAAGGCTTTGGTTGAGAAGACTGGCCTCGTGCCCGCCGTCAACCAAATCGAGCGTCACCCCATCCTCCCCAGCAAGGAGCTCGTCGCTTACGCCAAGGAGAAGAACATCCACATCACCGCCTACTCTGCCTTTGGCAACAACTTCTTCGACATCCCACTGCTCATCCACCGCCCTGAGATCAAAGCGATTGCCGAGAAGAAGGGCGCCACACCCGCACAGGTCATCCTGGCATGGTCTCAAGTCGGCGGCCACTCTGTCATTCCCAAGTCTGTTACCCCGTCGCGCATTGCTGAGAACTTCAAGGAGATCGAGCTGGACGACGAGGACATCAAGGCCATCACCAAGTTCTCAGATGAGCACCAGGGAAGGAGAAGGTACAATGTTCCCTACACGGCGAACAAGCCTAGATGGAGTATCAACATCTTCGATGAGCCAGAGGAGCAGGAGGCACCCAACAAGGTCGTCTTGTAGATAAGTTGAGTCTGCAGATAGCCGCAATACCATCAATGTTGACTTGAGCTTCTCGAACAACTGCGCGTTTGGGGGAGTGTGGATTGTTGCAAGTGACTTGCTGCGTAAAGCCAGATCATGTATTTGATCTTTGAGGATATGAGTATCATAACGCCAATTCGTTAGAGGCTCTTGGGTAAGGAAGGTGCGACGCGTAGATTTGGAAGACTGAGCCCGCCTAGCAGCGAGCTAATGTCTTTTCGGTTAGGTCAAATCGCGTACCTGCGTCACACACGCCGCGTCGCGTCACTCCGCTGCCCACGGCTTCAATAATGTTATATACTCTCTGTGTTTTGTCACACACGATACCTCCTATGTCTTCCTCGCCTAGGCCTTGCAGTCATTGTTACCGATCATGCTGTTCAGCGCTCTTCACGACGCCAGCAACGCGAACAACCTATCTTCATCGAGGACTCTGGCTCGTCTCGTATCTTGAGGCAGAAAGATTTATTTTGTCATCATTCGATGAGCTGAAGGAGCGCAGCCACATCAGTGGTCAGCCTACATAGTCGCTTCATGTGCCACTGGAATCTCGACACCTACCACACCACTTGGCTCGGCGCGAACAGGACCTCTACATGCCATCGTTGATCTGCACTCCACCAGGTAAGCTCTTCAACCCTGCTCAGTAAGTTAGCACAGTGCCTTGGGTGTCTAGTGCTGCGCTTACATGTCTCAGATCCGTCGACATCCTCAACCACCGTCTGCGGAATACTGCACTTCATCGCGTCTTCGTCGCTCTGCCTATTCAACTCGCTACATTGATCGTTACTGCACCGTGCGTCCAGCGCTCGCTGCAGCGCATCGCCCTTCCAACCGAACATATAATCACCATGATTACCATGGCCGGTCCTACAATCAGTCGTTAGCATGATTACGGTCCTTCACGCGTTCCAACGGGAAGAGGGGGTCTCACGCATCGCCCATACTGAACACAAAAGGCTGCGTTCCTTCCTCGCCCCACAGCTCAGGGGCATTGAATGGGGTCGTGTCAAACATGACCTCATACATGATTTGCGGTAGCTGCACGGGATAGCCCTCTGGACACTTGCCCCTCTGCTGCTCGGGTGTATACGGAAATGTCGCCATGGGCGGGAAATATGGCTCATACGGGATCTCTGCATATGCGACGTGGCTCTGGTGATCTGGCGAGTCCAGATTGACGCCGTCCCAGCATGTAGGGAAGGAGACTTGGGTACGAATACCACCTTCGCACATGCGGTTGGGGAGGAAGGTTGTATCCTCTCCTGTACATGGCGCTCCACCAAAGGGCTGTGAGTCCTTGTAAATGCAGCGATGACAGATGCCGCGGGATTCGCCGGTCGTATTGCGAAGTATTGGGTTGCCAGCGAGCATGCGGAAACCCTAATGAGAAGTCAGCAACAAAGTTCGTTATGAAGGAAAGCGAGAGCTCTCTCGCCCTCAAGAGTGGGAGACGAACGGGTCTGAACGCAGTCACATTGCTGAAGCCATCATATGGAGGTATGTAGTACACTGTCATACCGCCTCTCTGGTTTAGCCCAAGATTGGGGAACTGCTGGACACGTTTGTAGGTGCCATTTTGAGGTGCACGGTAGTACAACGCTGCAGTCCAGTAGTTGCTATGTTCCGTCAGCTATAACTCTGCTACGGCTAGGCGCCTCATGGTATACCTGAAGTCTTCGCTGTAAGTACACGTAGTACAAGTACTCTTCTCGACCAGATTGTACTCCACAGGCTTCATGTCAGCCTGAAAGCTGTTTCCTCCAACGATTTGGTGCGTATGCGGGCTTCCAACGACTCCAGGGTTGACCAAGGGGTCTAGTCGCTCGACGGTGAGTTGAGAACATGCGAAGCGCATCATCGCAGCGCCGCGACTGACATTTTGACTTAGCGCCGCACTGATGAGCGTAGCCACTACGAGGATCAAGTTCTTCATGATGATTAGACGGCGGAGCAGATATCGTTTGCAGACCAGTCAACAGGACGACCGTCGTTCAGACCAGATGAATATCTATGGAGAGACCTGTGCAGTCAGCTATGTGGGGCGCACAAGTGCCGGGACCCAAGCAGTCTCGTCCAAGACAACCCCCTTCTAAAGGTTCCAGTACAGTGGATTCTGGGACGTTGGGCCATTCGAGGGAGTGGTGTACAGTGCACTCGCATATTGAGCGACCAGGGTCTACCCAATCATGCATTTACCGCACGATAACATCACAAGCTTCTGATAGTCCAACTACTGACGAGGCACTCAACTACAGTTAATGTTGTATTCATCTCCTACTGGCACAGAGCAACATTTCCTTCCATTGGTTTGGACAAGCTGACACTGATTTGGGCTACCATTATGTCGAGCAATACAGGATCTTGACGAAATCGCAGGCGAGACATCAACTAAAGATGTCCAAAACGCTCAGCTTGTTCATCCGATCCACAAAAGGCTCTTGCCAACGAGGAGTGTCGTCTTCATGAGGTCGAAACCGCTGAACTTCAATCCGTGGGATCGTCCCTCCTTCTTCAACCCAGAGCCACCTCCGATACTCCCTGAGCTCCTGGGGCCAAAAGTCGCAAGGGTCCATGTCCGCATTCCAGTCATCAGGAGGGTACCAACACGGGTCTTCAATCTCAAAGAAGACTTCTGTCACCTTGAAAAAAATCTTCCCATGCTCGTCCTTGCCAGCGGGTACCTTAGTCTCGCGGTACTTGGTCGCACCCGGGGGGACTTCGCGCCTGATGACCTTCCCCCATGGCTCGTCGTAGACATCTGGCTCTCCAACCGGATGTGTCCAATCCTGGTTCTGATAACCTGGATGGCAAGGGTATCGGCCATGGGCATCGATGTTATCCAACTCATAGTAGATCGGCTCCAGGTGCCACTTCGTACGGCGAGCATCAGGAACTAGAGGGCCTTCAACGAACGTGGCGATGGAGCGTATGCGCAGCCAGTCCCACTCCGATTTGTCCTCTACTAGACGCTCAAAGCGGAAGGTGACCCCGGCATAGCTAGCGCGATCCTCGATCTCCAGATCCACAGTACCGAAGCGGACTTTGATCATCCTGGCTTCGTCAGCCCTCTCGGGGATGAGCTTAGAGGACTCAGGTTTGATGCGGAAACACTCCGATGTAGGGACGCCATGATTGTGGTACTGGGCGCAGAATTTTGGAGATTTCCCATGCCTGTTGTGAACCTATGGACAATTTCGCAAGGCCTAACCATTGGACGAATGATGTAGAACTGCCAGTCTCTCACGAAATCCCTGTTCAGATGACGCTTTTGCTCTTCCACATCGTCTTGTAAGATAGCGACTTTCTCAAACAATGACTCGAGCACTACCCTACGGATTTTATCATCGTCCTTGGTTTGCTCCCAAAGTAGGCTGAGGTCGCCAAGTTCAAAACTCATGGACTGGATGATCTTGTCGCACTCCTGCATGGTAACTTTCCCCACTTCATGCTCGTTGATCAGCTCGAGTTCTCGCGTGAAAGACTGGACAATTTCGTCAAGAATCATATCGCTGACTTCCGTAGTCCTCATCTCTTGGGAGAGCCGGTATGTCTCGAACAAATCGCTCATTGCGATGGACGGTGTGCCGTTATCGCGGTGAATGAAGCTTGTGTCATCGTATGGTTCCAGGCGGTATGTGCGTCTCGGGAATGTATGACGACGACCTAGAAAAATCGAAGTGTACCACCGATCGAAATTATCGAGAGAGTACTCAAGAAAGTGTTGGTCGTTGATCGGCAGCCGGTCCATGACCTCTTGCGTTACGAAGCGATTGACGCCACCATCTTGTCCAGGCGGAAATACCACGAGCTGAACAGCCTCGCCGTCGTACCACAATGGGTTGGTGGTAGGTTCTTTGCTCAGAACCGCAGGCGCTTCGCTTGTATCTGGAAGGAAGTGCTTCAGCTCTGCGTACAAGGGGATGTCATGCTCGGCGAGCCCAAGGGGGCTCGTGGCGAAGTAAACTCCCGTGAGCTCAAAGACTGCCTTATTGGCTGACGCGAAGCGCTTACGTACGCCCTCTGCACTGACATTTCCCAGTTCTGCCATCTTGTCCCAAGCGACTGGCTGCTGTTGCCATGGTGCACGTAGTTCGTAGGCCTTTTGACATCTGTTGGGAACTTTGGAATCGATGACCACTTTACTCCAATCGATTGGACATCTGGGGTGGTCGTGATAGGGGGGTGTCGGCGCTGGGAAACCGTAGTCCCACGGTGTAATCGCTGGGCGAGGTGATGGATTGAAGACTGTGTTTGTCAGCTGGAAATGCCCATGGCCAAGATGAGATAGGCTCTTACCGGTCGCTTTAGCGCGCAGTTGTTCTGAGACCACCGTGGCGTCGTCTCCTTCCTCTTCACCATCCTCCTCTTCTGAAGCATAAGGCTCTTCCTCGAAAGCAGAAGGCTCTTCCTCTGAAGCAGTATCGTCTTCCGTCTCCACGATGTAATCGTCTTTAGCATCTGACATAGCGCTGTTGTGAACCTTGGTCTTCGCGGCCCTCAACTCTGTCGACGGTGTCATCGAGCTTTGTGTAGGTGTATCCTTCATTGCGACATGCACTGCGCCAGTAGCTGATACACTACCAGAGACCACAGCGCGACTTGGGTTGCCCGCGGCAAGACTTGGAGTTACATTGCGCTTCGCATGGGTGGTCTTCAGGCGCTTTGCTGGTGTCTTCTGGACGTCTGTGTGCCCATTCGGAAGGAGACGGTCGCCTGTAGGAGCTGTCAAGGATGGATCGCTGCGCTGCGCCATATCAGAGCCGCTCTTGGACATCGGGTTCGCTCCTTCTGCCTTGCGCTTCTTGCTAGGTGATTGCGCCATTGCTGAAGCGGGATCCATGAGCGCTGTCGATCTGGCTTGAAGTGCAGTGGGTAGGGTAGGCATGTTGATGTCAACGTGGCCGAAAGTCAATGGAGTATTCCCGCGAGTGTGATACGCGGTGTGCAAGGCAAGGTGAAATCAGGTGCAGTATAGGGATATGGACCCATCATTTATATGCGTAAGGGGAGTGCCCGTTATCCAGGCCCCAGCGAGGAGCACATGGTAACCGCACTGACCTTGTCAGCGGTCTTCTGGGGCAAACTGGTGGCATCTGCCCGATATAGGAGTGAAAGCATTTGCGAATAGTGGTGAATGCTAAGATTGACATGTGATGGATGATATAGTGCAATATCAGACGAGCGATGGGGAGCGTTGCATAGTGACAAGCAAATAAATGCATGTATTTGCCCATACGATATGATATCGAGCTGCTAATCTGTACCAAACATATGCAGCAACAGACTACTGTAGCATACCTTCCAAACTCTCTCCCAAAATCTCTTCCATACCATTCTTCCACCTCTGGCACTCCCTTTCGACCATCTCATCGTCATCTTCCATGAGCTCACTGATGAATGGTAGCATCTCAGGAAGCAGACCCAGCCACTCTTCTCCTAATCTCCTCGTCAAGCTCTGCTCACACAGCACTGTCGCCAGCCTAGTGTTCCTGTCGTCGCTCCTCATGTTCTTCAACAATATGCTGTTCATCTCGCGATGGTTCTCCATGGATGATGCAGATGCAACAGCAAGTTCGGTGATGGTAGGAATGACGTTGTTGGTGTTGTCCTCTGGTGTAGATGTCGATGCAGATGGTAGGCTGAGTAAGGACAGCAGGGGTGGCATAATGGTGCCAAAGTGAGATGGCGCTTGCCAGAAGCCGTCTTGATCGTGCTGGAATGTCTTCTGGAGAGCGTCAAGCACAGCCCTGCGTGTGGTAACATCAGAGTCTTCTTTAGCAAGTTCAGTCAGCAGCTTGGCGGCGTGCTCGATTATGTAGCTCGCGTAGCTCGTTACGAGAGACTAGTTGTGTGTTAGTGACATTTTGATATGGAATGATAGAGCAAGACGTACCTTGAACTTGTCGAAGAAGGCGCCGAGGAACTTGTAGAAGGTGACGGCCTGTTGAGGCTTGCTCGACAGTGGGCCCTCTTGGTCCACAAGCTGAACGAAGAACGGTCGGAACGTAGCATCGCTGAGCTTCAGTACCATGGAGATGACGGAGTCAATAAGCGTGAGCTCCAGCTGTTCCAGCTCCTCCTCATCAACTTCGACGGTAGTAGATTGGACCGTCTCACGTAGTCGGAAAGTTTGCAGAAGCAGAGTGAAGAGCGGCGGACTGGCTTTGACAAGCTTAGCCTTGGTCTGGTTGTTGACAGTTGCGCGCAAAAGCTCAAGCTGCTCAAGTGACGCGTCGAAGCCTTGAGAGGCGGCATGTGGCCACGTTGACTTGATAGCAGCGAACACTTCCTGAGCACCGAGATGCTCAGATACACTCTGGAAGAAACTGCTGCGGCTTTCGTCGCAGGACTGTTCCAAATCGGCAGCGGCAGAGCGTTGGCATAGTCGAAGAGCGGTGTCCAAGTAGTCGCGCGAGAACATGTAGCCCAGTCGCTCGACAATGTTCGAAAGCACGGTGAACACAGCGTTGTGAAGACCAGTCTTTTCCTCTTCGATCGCATCCGATAGATATTGGAATGCTGTTGGTAAAACGATAGGGAGGAGCGAGATGGCCTCATCCTCGAGAACGTCAACGACAGATGTAAGGCAGAGGAGGGAGAGGATGCGAAGGCGATCATCGCTGCTGGAAAGCGATTGGGGACCAGACACAACTTGAGCTACTGATACAACAGCAGATACATCCTTCTTCCCGAAGCGGTCGACGATGCGATCGATGCAGCTGACAGAGACCATCTTGGCATCCATGTCAGGTGATTGTTCCAGTAGATCCTGAACGCTAGGCAAGAAAGAGATCAGTGCCTCTACAGATTTGCGGTCATTCTGCTTGGCGGTGCCCGCGCGCAGCTCGACCGACTTGACGGCAGCTACCTGGACGTGAGAGTCTGTGCTCGCAAGAAGTAGCTGTGCTGATTTGATGAGGTCGGTCGTTGGCAGGAGGTCTAGGCAGCTGGCGAGAACACGACTACATCCGGCGTAGGTCTTGGGGTTTGTTGCAAGCTTCTTTGACAGTTGAATAGTAGTCTCGACGATGTTTGCAAAGATCTTCCGTGGTCGTTCAGGATCATCCTTCTTTCTGTACGCTCGAGTAACGTGTGCCTTCACCTTATCGTCAAGCGCGAGATCTGTCAAACACGACAGCATACTCTGAATTGACAGGTCGAATTTGTTGTCTTTTGTCTTTTCCTTGAGGCTGAAAAGTGTTTCCGCGACCTGGGGTTTCGGTCCCACGGCATCAGTGAGGAGATCGACATATCCCTTGAAGGTGACGAGGGTGTGGACAGGTTCGAAGTGAAGTAACAAATCCGCACAGAACCTTCGTTGCTCCTTGCTGTGGTAGCGATCGGCAAGAAGTGCGACGATAGCCGGGAGCGAATCCTCGGGGCCTAGCGTACGAGCAAGCTCTGTGAATAGCTTCATCCTTCTGTGCAGGGGAATGTGTTCAAAGGCGGCAGTGAAACTGAGCAGTAAGTCGGACACGCCAGCGATGAAGTCTCTATGTTTTGAGCGGAGAGAGGCAGCCAATTGAGGCACGACCCGAGATATAGTCTTATCAACGACCTGAGCGGAATAGTCGTCATGCTGGCGAAGCAGAGTAGATCCGATGAAGGTGAAGATAGGCATGAGATTGTGAAGAATGAGATCAGGAACCCATGAGGCAAGATTGGAAATGAGAAGCAGCGCGCTGTTTTGAACCTGTGGGCTGCTGGAGTGTCGAATGCAGTCGATGAGTAGGTCCGCTCGTACTGCCGATTGGTAGTCGGCGGTGTCGGCTTGCTCCTTCAATGTGTTTACGATCGGGCTTAGTGATCCCAGAATAATACTCTGAAGATACACTAGTTCAGACCCAGACTGTTGCTTGAGTGGCTGTAGTTCTGCAAAGATGCCGAAAAGATTCTTGAACAGTGTTGGGTGCTGTCCAGGGTTTGACCCTTCAACCAGCTCAAGTACCAACGTGAGCTTTCGGAGTAGTCGCTGAACATCGTCTTGGGATGAAAGCTCGACTCGAGCCATCTCACTCTTGCTTGTCCTTCGCCTTTTCGCTGAAGGCGGTCCTTCGGGCATGGAGGTGGGAGATGGAATGCTTTCCAAGAAGGTGACCAGGATGGCAGAATCAAGGTCAACGTTGCGCAGAATCTCAACGGATCGTTCTCTACGAAGCTTATCGAAAGATTTGTCACTTTCACTGGTTGATAGGCTGAGCATGCACTGAGCCAACGCGTGACGAGCTTCAGATCTGAAGGAAGACCATGAGGTTTGAATGCGATCAAAGGCGGCCATCACTAAAGCTTCACGCTCCGTGTTGAAAGTCCCAGAGATGATGTCCTCGAGCAGTTTCGCGCTCATCGCCTCCCTGGGCATTGTCGCGGAAATGTGAGCCCGCTCCACTTCATCGAGCGAGAGCCCTTCGCTGTCGCAGATGGTGTTGACGGAAGCTGTCGGTAAGGTTGCCCATTCGGTCAACAAGGGGATCACGGAGTTGGTACGAACGGAGTCGGAGACCTTTCCGCGGATGTTTAGCATCGGCAATAGGCCGAGGCGGACGCTCAATACCGGTGTGAACCTCGCGTGGCTGGCGAAAAACGCAAGGATTGAAGTCCTTGTCTGCATCTTGAACGTATTCTTCGGATGATTTTTCAGTTGTGTCCCTTCCAGGACATCTCGAAGAGCGGGAATGGCGAACTTTGAGTCCATGACGCATTCTTCGAGGATCGGCTGTAGCATCGAGGAAACAAACACGAGGACATCTTCAGGCTTGAGTTCTGCGAGATTCTTCGACTCTTTCCCATACAGATCGAACTTGCCCCAAGTTGATGTTTTCGACTTGGCGGAAGCCTTTCGTGCCAGAGACCCAACGCATGCAGCCGCTGAACGTCGGATAATTGGCGATGCATCTGCAAGTGCGTGTACGAGGTATGGCAGGATGTTCTGCAAGACATGTGCAGCCTCAAGCTTTTCGAACGATGATGCGGCTGCACGGAGGGCGGAAACGCGAATGGCGACAGACCGGGAGCTACTCCAGACGCGAGCGAGAAATGAAAGGTAGAGTGGCTGCTTGAGAGCGGATTCTTGGTGCAATGCGTCCGAGGCGAGGAATCGCCGTGTTTGCTTAGTCGTCACAGCCTGCTCGAAAACGTTGGCCGCTTCTGAAAACTCGGTCGCTGATTCGGCGTCGAGGAAGCTTTTTACAGTAAGCTCTGGGAGTTGTATGGCAGGCTTCTCGGCTGTGTCCTCATCTGCATCAAGCATCTCCTCGTCAGAGTCCTCGCCCGGGATATCTTCGATTTCGAAGGTTTGGCCAACGGTAAGTCCCAGAGACTCCAGATTGACATTGTGCTGCTTCGCCGCTTCTTGTAACGTTGCTTGTAGGTCTTTTGATTCAGCCATCTTAGTAGCGACTTGTAGCAGTTCTCCGTGCTCTTCGGAGCCCGGTGGACTGTCGCGGAGGAGTTGGACCAATGCCGATAGCACCATCTGAATGTGCGATGTGCCGAGGAGGCCTGAGGCGATTAGCTCATGGAAAACCCTGCAGTTCTCGTCGGAAGTATCGCTGAGTGCGCCAAGGGCACAGCCTAGAACAAGTCGTTGAACCTGGCATTGTTTTGACACTGTCGTCAACTTCTGCACAAGATGGGGAACCTTGAGTAATCTCCTCGATACTTTGGCGGGAACCTGCGCTTTTGAGCGCTCCATGGCGATGATGGCCAGACAGCCGAGGCATGATTGAAGGGAAGCTTCGTCGTATGCTACGATGACAGCCTCCATCAGCCCATCCAGAACCTTGTCGCCGACTTTTGCCTGGCTCACCATCATGATGACAATGGCGTAGCAAGCCAGAACCGTGTCAGCGCCGTGCTTGGCTCGCATGCAAGTATTGAGAACCGGGAGCAGTTCCAGGACTAGCTTTTCGGTTCCTTGGGCCTGAAGATCCTTCCTTCCAGTGCTTGCGTTGCTTATAATGCCGTAGATAGCCTCGACCGTGATTCCCGACCAGAAGGACAGCATATGCGAGGCCTGGTGCCCCGCCTCTACCACCTTAGCGACGTATGATTGGTATGCCTTGAAGAATTGTGGGGTGTTGATGGCGGTGTAGGCGATGGTTCGCTGCGGTACGTTGGTCGGGGCCTGGATGTACGGGAAGAGGAATCGGATGGCGTGCGGTGGCTGTGGGGGTAGGATGGAGAGCAGCGCAAGGAACTGTGGGGTGTTGTGGTAGGGCAGGTAAGTAAAGACGAGAGTTTCGGTGTTGTACTCGTGGATGCGGAATCTTCGCACCAGCCACTCGAGAGCCTTCTCCGCCGGCTTCAACAGCAGTCTTGGTCCGACCAGCGTGATGAACGCCTCGAGCACGGTGTTCAGCTTGGCGTTCTCCTCCTTGGTCATCTGGGTGCGGTCCTCGGCCTTGCTCTGCTCGCTGAAGAGATTCTTGGAGAAGCGCAGGAACCGCGAGTCCAATGCGCAGAGGTCCTTGTAGCCATTGTAGCAGATGAGGTAAACGGTCTCGAAGGATTGCGACGCGGCGACTTTGGAATCGAAGAGGAGCGATTTTCCATGCGCCGACTTCTGCGCGCGCAGGTCCAGCTGATGGGTGCTCGAAGCCGCGATGGTCGCGAGCTGTTTCTGGAGCGCCGTCGCCATTTTCGGAAGTTTTCGTTATTATGACAGGCTCTAGGGTATTATTCGGGTAATTCGATGAGCCATGAGACGCAGCGGAACAGCGTAGAGTTTGTCGTGGCGGATTGGTTGAAAGCTTCAAGCCGGCGATGCGCATACAAAATTTCGGGAAGCCAAGATTTCACGCTAGTGGATTTTACGGTTGGCCGCTCGAGCCAGACACGCCGCCGGACTCCCGAGCACGTGCCATGCGCCTTTCATCTCTCCGAACGTCTTACCTCTGGTCTTCCATCCTTGTTGTCTTCACAGTAGAAGACATACGCCTGCCAGTCCTTTTTCTGTGCGGAACATGTCTGACTCCTCAATACGCAATCCGTCTCTTGACTCATGACTACGCGCGTCGCATAGATTCCTGTACTGAAAGCAGCGACCACAACTATGATACTAGCCTGAAGCCCCATCTACAAATAGAAGATTGCTGGAGTTGCACCTTACGCAATGGCGTCGAACATCCCCAAGTTTGCGAGCTTCCGGCCAAAGCCCAAGGCCGCCCCAGAGCCACCCAAGGAACCCCAACACCATGAGAAAGCCGAACGATTGTCAAAAGAAAAACACTCTACCAAGGGGAGATCACCTTCGCCAAAGCGCGCTATTCGCGAGCACGATTCAAGCAAAGACAGGCCCTACTTCAGCGACCGACGCGGAGATCCTGACGTACTGCGCTATGGATCAATGAACCGTTACGACATCCCACCCTATCGTCGCTTCGGTCATGGCTTCATACTCGGACTTTCTGTAACCCAAAAGATCGATAGAGAGTACTCAACGGATCGGAAAATACTCGTGACGCCAGCGACACGAAGACGGCAAGAGCGACTACTGACGAGCAAGCGTGCGAACAAGTCCGGTGAGCGCGCTTTGCGGCTGCTGAAGGCTGAGGCCCCCGATGTGGACCACTCTCAGGACTTTCTGTCACTGTCTGCAAATACCAAGAGGAAGCGCGATGACAGTGAAGATGAAGATGCCGAGATGGAGCCTGAGACAGACTACCGCGCCATCGAAGGGCCAAAGTCCACCGAGCCTGTCGACCCAGACACGCAATACGAGTCGGACCCTGATGTTATAATCGACACTGAAGTCACTCGCAAGAACTCGCAGCTCGCGCGGCAGACGAAACAGCATCCTGAAGATCTCCAAAGCTGGTTGGACTTGATCAAACACCAAGAAGCCATGCTAAAGCTCGAAAGGCCATCTGCTGAGCTGACTGCATCCGATAGAGCACATCTTGCTGATATACGTATCTCCACATATGAGGAGGCTTTGAAGAAGATCGGCGAGGATCAAGACAGCAAGCTGGAGCTGTACAAAGGACTGCTGGAAGAAGCAGTGAGGGCCTGGGATGGCGCTAGACTGGCCAGTAAATGGAATGACGTGCTTGCGAAGCATCCTCAGAGTGTGGAGCTGTGGATGAAGTATCTTGACTTTGTGCAGTCACGATTCACAAGTTTCAAGTTCGAGGACTGTCGGGCGACCTTCTTCAAGAGCATCGAGTCACTTCGTACAAACAAAAGCGAAATGTCACCGGAACAGACCTTGCACATATTGCTACGTTTGACATCCATGACACATGATGCAGGATACCAGGAACTCGCTCTCGCTGTGTGGCAAGCTCTACTCGAACAACATTTGCTACGGCCAGAAGTAGACACGGACCCGCAGGCTTTCGAGCAGTTCTGGGAAAGCGAAGTAGCCCGTATCGGCGAGTCCGAAGCCAAGGGATGGAAACACAGCAACATAGATGATGCGTCACCCCCAGGACCTTCATCACTGCTCGGGAAAGAAGCACTAGATGCGGTCTTCGAAGACTTCCGAAAGCGCGAAGTGGAGGCTACGTCGGTGTTACGACTCCCTGGTCGCACGTCGGACGATGTAGCAGAGGATGATGCATTTCACACAATCTTCTTCTCTGACGTCGAGCCATACCTGACCATCACATCGCCCGAGATACCGGCAACATTGATGATTGAGGCTTTCTTGTATTTCTGCGGCTTGCCAAATTTACCACATCGCATACCACAACAACGTGCTTGGTCGTCCGATCCATTCTTGCAGCGCCACTGGTACTCTGCTTCTCCGGACACTGACGAGTCTAAAGAACTTACGAGAGTCATCAAACGCTTCTCGAACTACTCAGCAAAGCACTTTCAAATGACCACGGAGCTCTTATTCGAGCAAAGCTTCTCACTAGATGCTATCAAACTGGACGCAGACTTTGTCAGGCGCTTTCTCAAGCTTCTGGCTTCAGAACCCTCCAGCGATGATATCATAGGAGAGTATCTGCTAGCTTTCGAGTCGAAACACTTCCCATCAGAAGCGTTCAAGACCGCAAAACGGTTGCTCAAAGCGCGGCCGTCCAGCTTACGCTTGTACAACGCCTATGGACTGGTCGAATCGCGTCTAGGTAACTCAGCCAAAGCAGATCAAGTCTTCAGCATGGCGCTATCTATGCAGAAAGGAGACAGTATATTATCAACACCATGGAGCTTGGAGCTCTTCAGCAACTGGGTGTGGGAAGCGCTCCGGCGAGGAGAACACATTGAGGCCCTATGGCGGCTCGTCTCACCAAAAGGTGGCCTTCCAGCCGGTGTAGCCAGAGATTCGCACCCCGAAAGCACTCTTCTCGAGACGGCACACCTAATACTGAGCGAAAAAAGCGAACACGCCCTCCTCCACCACGACTACACCACAGCAATAACAAGCACCTCCATCCTCGCCCTCCTAGCCTACCTCACCCACAACAACTCCGCCTCACACGCCCTCGAACTCCACGCCAACCTCACCTCATGGTTCACATCGCATCACCTCTCCACTTCCGCCGTCGCAGAACTCCACGCCCAATCCGTCGCTGCCCTCCTTACCCACCACACCACCCACGCGCCCATCGTCAAACCCTCTCTCATCCGCTCCACCCTCGAACCGCTCATATCCCGCTTCCCAACCAACACGGTCCTCCTTGCCCTCTACGCCGCAAACGAAGCCCGTTTCTCCATCGACGATCGCGTGCGCGGTATCATGCATCAAAACATGCTTCACAACGCCGAAGAAAGGAGTATAGCAGGCTGGGCATTCGTGATACACTACGAAACCCTCAAGGGAGAGATTGCGGGCTCGACGACGCATTCCATTCGTGCATTGTACAAGCGCGCGACTGAGTCTACGACTGGATCTCGATGTCCCGCGCTGTGGAAAGCTTACGTAGAGTTTGAACTACGCTGTTTACGTGACGAACAATCGAGACAGCGGGCGAATAAGAGACCGCGTAGGGATGGCAAGAAGAGTAGATGGGAGGTACGCGTTGAGGAGGCGGAACAGCGGGTTAGAGATACATTTTATGCTGGGTTGAGGAATTTGCCGTGGTGTAAAGAGTACATCATGCTTGCTTTTACGGAGGCACGGGATGTGTTTGGGGAGGAAGATAAGGGGAGGTTGTACAGGGTTATGTTGGAGAAGGAGTTGAGGCTTTATGTTGAATTGGATGAGGGGGATCTGTAGATGAAACGGTGGATGCAGTAAATTGGATAGCCACGGACTTAGCATAAGCGTCAAGGAAGAAGCGTGTAATGGCCCTCACGTACAGAGAGGCTTTATTGAAGAAAATATATAACCATGTACATTAATCGCCTGCATTTATCCTACTAGCGAGCCTCATAGGCAAGATTGAACGGAAATCTAGAAGATATCCTCCGTGCCGGCATCCTGCCATGTCGTTTCTCCCTTGGCGACACGGTCTCGGACCTTCCAGTACTCATGGTTAAACACCCAGTACTCCTCGCCAGTAGTCTCACACTTGCCCTTGTGGAACCATCTGGGTACAAACTCTTTGCCTTCAGCCTCTCTCTGTCGGCGAGTTGCTCGCTGCTTCTCTTCGACCCTGTTCTTTTCCACGGCGGCAAAGTCATACTCGCCGTCCTCCATAGCGCGTTGGTCGGGACGGAGACGGGTGTCTGTTGGTGCGACGACAGGGCGAAGCTTGTCGGGGATGTCGTTGAGGGTTACCACGAACGGAGTAAGGTTGAAGGGAATGCCCGTTGGACGCTCGTGAGCTTGCCAGACGAGGAAAGCCTTGTTGTCGTCGTGCTTTGAACTCTTCCCACTCTTCTCAACGTCTGCATCCTCGAAGCCTGGCGTGAAGCGCGCATAAATCTTGTCATTCCATCGTCCACCGATACTCCAGCGGACTCGGTTCTCTTTATCGAAAACTTTACCAACCACTTGGTAAGCTGATGAAGCCTTCCAACCACGAGGCTTGAACTCGATCAAACACTTTTCGCCCGTCGTCCAGTTTGTAATTTCCATGGTACCGTAGTTGTCGACGACGGGGTTACCAGTAATAATGCCAATTACCGAGGAGGTGACCTTCTTCCAGGTGTAGAGCTCCTCCTTCCCACCGTTGACGGTAGGGCGGAGACGAAGGAACCAAGTTCCGAGCGGGTTAATGTCGAAAGATTTGCCATAGAATTTCGACTTCACTGCTGATTCACCCTGGACATTGTTAGAAATGGTAAAGAGAACATACTTCCAGTACTTACGTAGTAATCCCACTTCTTGGATTCCGCATAGGCGGCACCAATCGGTGGGTGGTGGCTGACCTGCTCAATGAAGAAACGGTAACCTTTGTCTGGTCGGGCATACTCGTAGGTCTCGGCGAGAAGTGGATTGAAAGGTTTGGCGACACGTCCGATAGTCGAAGCGTACTCTGAAGCGGCAAAAGCAGCCACGTAAAGTAGTCGCTCGGTAGAGTCATCGCGTTCGGCAGCGGTGTCGAGGAGATCCGTGTACTCCATGTCTTCGGCGACACGTTGGAGCAGTGAGGTGGGCTCATTGAAAGAGACCGGTAGTGTCATTTTGGTCATGTCTTTGCCAATCATGGACTTGAGGATACCCTAAACGTTGTCAGCGATCTGCAAAACTAATTGCACCGTCGAACTTACCCATAGTGATATCTTTGGCCTATCGTCGGCGTCCATTGCGAGCCTCTTCCGTGGGCCATCTTCGTAGCCTGCCCATGCTGTAGCAATCTCCATTTGCTTCCTCTCGAATGGGTCGTCTGAAGAGGCCGGAATGTCTACTTGGGTGGGCTCCTTGGGTGCAGCCGCAGGCATTTCAACAACCTCGACCTCTCCAGCACCGACAGCATCGAAGAACTCTTCGTCATCTTCCGAATCGGAGTCTGAGATATCGGCAGCAATGTCCGCAAATGTAGCCTTCCTCCTGACCTTCTGGCTCTTAGCAGGAAGCCCCACGTGTGATGTCATATCCTTCTGTTGCTGGGCATCTTCTGGCGCGTCAGCGAAGTCGTCCTCGTCGTCCTTGGCATCCGGCTTGGGACCAGTCGTCTCGTAATCTTCCAGGGCTTCTCGCAGAGCTTTCTTCTGCTTCCGTCGCTTCTCCTCAGACTCGCCTATCCGGTTCTCGAGCTCTTCCTGCTCTTTTGCCACCTTTGCCATGCTTTCCTCCCACATGCGCCTCACATTGGCCTCGCGGTCTAGGCGGTACTGCCAGTAGGCATCGCGATCTCTGGATATGCGAAGCAGATCGCCAATTAGGCCCTTCAGGTTCCCGATAGCGGATTCGTACGAAGCAAATGCTTGCAGCATCATTGGGTCGGAAATCTTCAGGTCGGGTGTACGACTCCTCTCTGTCTGGAGGGCCGACGACACGGATGTCAGAAGATCGAGTTGTAGCTTGGCCGATTGCGCTGTGATGTTGAATGCATCTTTGCTTTGGGGCTTCATCTCATGGCTGCTCGTATCGTCGCCGTAGTCGTCTTCGTCTTCGTCGTCGCCAGCTATTGTAGCGGTACCCATGTGGCTGACCATTCTGTCCAGACCTTGGCCGTTCATGCTAGGCTCGTAGGCACTTCCAGGGTCCTCTGTTACGCTGACCGCAGTTCGTGAGGATGTGTTGTCCAGACTTGGGTGAGGGACGCCGAGAGTGGATGCTGGACGTGTTAGTGTGTCATACATGGTCGGAAGTTGGTGACACTCACCAGCAGTCAAGTTTCGCGAACTTGGTGCTACCTTGGAGCTGCCAATACTAGACGTGTCTCCTTCGCCCTTGATCTGCTCAATCTTGGCTTGCTTCAGCATCTCCTGATCCTGGTTCGCCCGCTTCTCCTCTTCGCGGGCCTCGTCCTTGGCCCACTGGATTGAGTTGTTCAGAGCCCAGTACCATCGCTTAGCCTCAACCTGATGGTTTGCCTTGAGGTGGTACTTGACCGACGACTTGCCCTGGATTTCAAATCGCTGCTTGTCTTGGGGATCCATGTACAGTTTCGCTATGCGCATGTTGATGGCACCGCGACATGCAGACCCAATATCGTCCTGGTGCTTGTAGTAGCTGAGAACGCCGTCCTCAAGCACGAACCACCGCAACTTGTATCCGGTTGTATAGTTGGTCCATTTCTTGAGGTAGCCCTTCATCTCACGCGACTCTCTTGCGCCCATTCCGCTCTCTGTCGCAGTTTGGCCCGGGGGTCCACCTGCGAGTATGGTCTTCTCTTGGATGCCCCTCTGGGCCGCGGCGGCGGCGGGTGATCGCTTCAAGATGGCACGTGTGCGGTCGTCTTTGGTATAGTCTTGGGGAAGCTTGCCTTTGCGGTCACGACGGAACGGGTCAGCTCCGTTGAGCAGCAAAAGCTGGGCGAGCTTGATGTCCTTCTTCTTGGCTGCCTCGTGCAGCAGGGTACCGCCCGCATCCATTACGACCGGGTCAGTCGCCAGCTCTCCGCCGTTGACGTCCAGCGTGCTTCTTATCCTAGCATCCTGTAGTATCTTTTCTAGTGAGTCCATATCCCCAGCGGAAACCATGTGCTGTATCTTTTTTACGTTGGTGTCGATGAAGATGGAGCGCGAAAGCTGTAGCTGCTGGAAGATGTCGGGCGTGCGGGCGAGATCCAAGGGCGTCTGGCCGTTGTAGTTGGTGACAGAGTCGTTGATACCGGGCTGATCGAGCAGCATTCGGACAACGGGCGCGCGGCCCAGCGTGGCTGCGAGGTGGAGCGGGGTGTTGCCATCGCGGTCGCGGCCATTGATGTCGATGGGCGAGTCTGGTGTAGCCGTTGCGTTGGATAGCACGAACTCGATGACGGGCACCTCGGCGCACTGTATGGCCAGGTGCAGGATAGAGGTTCCTTCCGTGCGCGCGCTGGGCAGTTGCAGCGACGACCTGCCCTCTTCGCCGTCTGTTGGCCCTGCCTGGTCCCTGATGGCCCTCGATATGGCTGCAGTGTCGCCATTGCGGAGCGACTCGAATACTCGGAACAGCTTCACCGACTGCTCTATCGAAGTTGACTTGCCCGTGGGCGAGGTGGGCGCTTGCTGGCCGCTGGGCGAGGCGGGACTCAGGCTGTCCTGCCCGGCGCCTGTATTCGACATGCTGGTCGAGAGGTGTGGGTTGTGCTTCTTGGACACACTGCGACTGTGGCCCGATGTTGTTGGTCTAGCTGGCGCGGGCTGCGAGTTGGCCGAGACGGCTGTGCTGGGCGGAGAAGTGTCGCTGCTGTCTGTGGTCGCGGCAGCTCCGTCGGGCTTGGAAGTAACACGCGACAGGAGGTTCTTGACGCTCGACGACTTGGAGCGCTTGTGCCTGCAATACGCTGTCAGACGTGCTTCTGGGCTATCACCGTCCTCCTCCACATGTCCCCCGCCATGACGCCAGCGGGCTTGGAGCACCTACCCTTCCATGCTTGTGTGATTGGCCGCCGGGCCAAGGATATGCGGGCCTGTAGGCGACGGGCAGAGGGATGAGGGGTTCGGTTGGATGTGTGTCAGCACCGAGTCCTATGTCTCATAGATTGTGTGCAGCTGTTGCGACTTTGTAGGATTTCACCACTGACGCGGCGGGGCTTCGTGACAGTTTTGGGGGCTTTCGTCAGGGGCGCACCATCCAGGCCGCTGCTTCAGCGAATCACGACTATTGCTCCGCTAGGCTGGGCTACCGAGCGATTGTCCCAACATCCTGCTCGGGCATATGTCATGGCGGATTCGACTAGTGAATGCGTGCATTGGGCGAACTCCAGCTTGGTGAGGCTAAGCTTTGGCTCTGCCTAGGTACAGCACTACGTCCTGACACGTGCATTGGAAATGTTCATATTGTACATTGTCTACATAGCATCTTCACATGCTCAGGCTGAGTCGCCGCCCACAAGGATGATGGCACTACCAAGCTGTCTCCGTAGATCTTCCTTCTGGACATCGTGCGTGTCTTCTACCTCACCCCACTGCTTCGTCTGCCACGTAACCTCCAGACTCGACGCCTCGGTGGCTTCCTTGATGCCAAAGCGCGGCGCATCTGTGACCTTGCGCGATTGCGCAAATGCTTCGCCCCATTCGTGGATCAACCGCACGCTGACTAGCAAACTCTTGGATGCCAGCACCGCGCGTTCGAGTCCAGCGAGTTCGTAGGCTGGAAGACCTGCACACCAACCCCGGATCACCTGCTTTGTCATCTCTGGCTGCTCGGTGGGGATGATGGTCTCGGGGTCGAGCGTGGGCTTGATCTCTACACCAGGCCACACGTGTGTCTGGAGGTAGGCGATGATGCCTGTAGCCACTTCCTCCTGAAGCTCGCGCAGTGTCTTGCCGTTCTGGAGCGTCTCGTTCATGACCTTTGCGGGCGCCCAGCAGAGCAGCGTGTCTGTGTCGAGCACGCGCATGAAATAGCTGAGGATGTCGTTCCTGATGTTTTCCCTACCCTCCTTGTCCGCCGCCTCGATATCAATTGCACGGGCGGCGAGCGAGGTCATGGGGATGTAGTCGTTCTTGAGGGCCTGCTGCGCGCTCATGAGGAGGTCCCACTCGAGGGCAATGGCGGTTGCGAGCTGCGGCTTCGATGCGGGCACCGTGAGGATCTGCTTGTTCGGCATTCGCACAGGTCGGTGGTCGAGAAAGACCTGCAGACCGCCCTCGTCCTCCTTGATCGAGACGTCTTTCCAGAAGCGCTTGGCCAGCATGTTCTTGGGCTTGTTGGTGGGGGCGTAGACATCGCGCATCTCGCGCGCCTGCTTCATCATGTCGGCCTGCCGCCTCTTTCTTGCAACCCGTTCAGATGCATCTGATGGCTGTGGCTCGGGCGTCGCAGGCGGTGGTCCGGGTACTGTCTGACGTTAGTTGCTGGGCCATCTTGGCTACGTCGTGTCTCCTACCCGATGGATGAGGCAGCGGCGTGGCGCCCCGTGCCGCTGATGTGTGTAGACATTGATAGAGGGGTCGGTAGGCTCTCTTGGGCGCCGACAGCCGGATGCTGGCGAGGGCTGGGCGAATTGACTCCATGGCGGTGCTGGGCGAGGGTGCAGATGGCGTGCACGCTGCTCCCAGCCCAGGTGGGACCGCCGCGGCGACTTTTTCCCAGCACGCCAGACGCGCTCGGACATCAATTGATGCATGGCACGGGTAGCGTCGACGACTAATCTGGGGTTCTCCGCTCCGCAACCCAGACCACCACTCGCCGTCAACACACGCCCGTCGGGTAGCAGAGTCACGTCGTAGCGTTTGCCGATCACCCTGTGCCAGCCTTGCTGAATATGCGCTGGCTTCTCCACAGCTTCTCGTCTCCTCGCAGCTTCTCCACTGTCTGGTCTGGCTCGTGATCGACCGTTGACGCGCATCTGGCAGCTGTTGCTACCCCACTCAAATCTACCTTCCCTGCAGCATCCAACACGGCCTTTGATGCGGTCATTCCCGTTTGCCGCTGAGACCACACTCTGCTTTTAATGAATCAAGGAGCCCCTCAGACGGCCTCTGCGAATGCTGCCGCGCCCCAGCCCAAGCCTATCCGTTTTGTGACGAACCATGATGGTCCCTATGCGAAGAGGCGGCGCATCAATTCCGCCTGCCTGACATGCAGGAAGAAGAAGACGCGATGTTCTGGTACGGAGTTTGGCAAGTCTGTCTATCATTTGCTGACGGTGGAGTAGGTGAGCGACCTGTGTGTGGAACCTGTGTCCAGAACAAGCACGAATGCGCCGGCTACGGAGACGATAATGGCACGAGCGAACACCAAAAAGAAGGCAAAAAGGCTGCCAGAAGAGAAAGCTCCGTCTCGAACAGCGCGCCTTCCCGGAAACATGAGCCTCCCATCGACCCGCTGCTCACACGGCCGCACCTTCCCCATACGACGTCGCAAACCTCCGAATCAAGCGTTCATACATCGCCCAAGGTCGAGTCGGCCGGAAGCAGCGGAGGCTTGAGCCTGAGCACGCGGAACAGAATGCCATACTTCAGGTACTTTGGGCCTACAGCCATTCTGCCCGGTTTGCGACAGATGGTGGTCAAAGTGCGAGGAAAGCAGCATGGTAGTGCTCAGACTACATCAGATCGTACGTTCATCCCGCGCACCATGGATATGCAGCTCATGATGCTGTTACCGGAGAGCACCTATGTCCCAGAAGCCAAGCACCCAACCCATGAGGCTGTGCTTGTGCAAAGGCCGGCGCATCCGGCTCTTGCTGCTCTGCTGTAACCCCGTATCATGTAGCTAACAAGTCCAGAACACGCAATCGAATCCTCGCCCGCGCAACCGTCAGTAGGCTCACCACCAGTGCCAGAAGCCCGTACACCCGCCGAGATACCCGTATACGACGCCTCGTCAATGTCTCCAAGTCCACTCATTACCCACCTCTGCAAGCTGTTCTTTGTGCATCTCGGCTGTTCCTTCCCATTCCTGCAACGAGAGCGCTTCATGCGGGACTTGGAGGAGAAGCAGGTAGACGCAATACTCGTAGATGCCGTCTGTGCGTTAGCGGCCCGATTTTCGACACATCCTATGCTGACAGGCAAGAGCGACGCGCAGAAAGAGGGTGAGGCAGAACCTCCAACGATCCCTCCTTCTGAGCATGGCCAAGCCTTCGCGCAGCGAGCCAAGTCAGCTATCCCCGACGCTTTTCCGTGTCCTAGTGTAGCAGTAGTACAGGCGGCGCTGCTTCTTGCATACGATGAATTCGGTGCAAGTCGCGACAGTGGACTTTGGATGTATCTGGGGATCGCCATCCGAATGGCGCAGGATCTGGGAATGCAGTCTGTGGGAGGCCTGAAGTATGAGGGACGCAAAGGCCCAACCCCAAATTCTGTCAAGAGCGACCCAGATGGTGGACGGCATTCGGAGCAATCAACAGCTTTGGACAATCAGGGGGCTAGCGCAGAGGAGCAAGAGCAAAGGGCTGCCGAGCGTGAGAGACTGGATACTTTCTGGTCCATCTTCTTCCTTGACCGCGTCATATCCTCTGGAACTGGACGGCCGGTGACCCTTCGCGATCGCGACATTGAGATCTCGTTTCCCTCCCTGGATGAAGTGGACTCTTCCGGTTGGCCATTGCCTTTTCCTGCGCTAATCCGCATCATTCATCTATACGGCCGCGTTACCGATCTCCTTAACCGAATACGAAGTGCCGCTGATATTACTGCTGACCTGCAGAAGCAACTCGGAGCTTGGGAAGACAGGCTAACAGGCATCTATCAGAACCTGTCGCCCAAGCTGCACTTCAATGCGGTCAACTTCCAGCAATACGTCAAGCTCCACCAGGGCACCAACTTTCTCCTCCTACATTGCTGGTTCCATACCTTGATCGTTCTTTTGCATCAGCCAACGCTGCTCAGGACGTTCGAGGGAACCCCGCAATCCTTGTCCACCAATAGCAGAGAACTTTCCATGTCTTCTGCAAAGACTGTTGCCGACATCCTGGCCTTTACCGAGCTCATCGATGTGAAGACTGGCATTGGCAATCCTTTTACCAGGTACGATACGGTCAGGTTCCCGATGCAAAACTTTCATGCTGACTGTTCTTTAGTCAACCAATATACATTGCCGCATGTGCTTTCCTCAAAGAGACGGCACTGCATTCGGCATCGTCACAGCCCCAGTCTCGCCCAGCAAGCCCAGGTCGCAACGGGGAGAACTGGCAAAAAGCTACTAACCACCAATCTCTTGACCGTCTGAATCCAAACAACAGCTCTACCAGAGATTTGGAACTCAAGCAGACCGCCGCTAAGCACACATTGCTTGCTTCCGCGGCTAACCAAAATTATCAACGCTGCTACCGTGCCCTCAAAGCCTTGGAGACCTACTGGGCGGGTGTCAAGTACATTATGACTGTGCTAGACCAAAAGGCAAAGGGTGTTGGTGACCCCTTGCTGTACACTGCCGAGGAGATGGAAAGTGCATTAGAAGCCCCTCGACCCGAGCCATCTTTCACTAGCCCTGGTTGGAGGAGGAAACTGAGTTGGGGAACTTATCTCACTGCACAAAACTCTGACGCGGACGTCGCAAAGATGGCAGCGGCTATTCGAAAGGGCACGAGAACGCCAAACATGCCTGGCTCGCCCATGGTACACCCCAGTCAAGGTATGTCGTTAATGCCCATGTACTCGAGGTCTCACTAACAGCTTATAGCAATCGGATGGTCGCTTACTGGTACCATGAACTCGCCATCAACCAACGTCGCTGTCATGTACACTTCCGAAAATGGCGAAAGCCGGAGTACGAGGCCACCACCTTCCAAAACACTCCCTGCAAGCACTCAGCCTTCTATCGCGTCGTTGATATCCGATCCTCCTATCAAATTTGAGCCACGCCACTCTATAGCATCACCATCGGGTTTCTCGCAATTCAGCTCGGCGTCCATGCCTCCGCCGCCCTCAAATCCAACCTTCAACCATATGCCCACACCAGACCCAGTTCTAGTATCAGATGCCGATCTTCTTCTGAACCTACATTCCCCGTTCTCGGGCGGCTCACCGACAGCCATAAGAACGCCATTACAAAATCCGACTTCATACACCCGCTCATCCGCCCAACACAACCAGCTACAACCTACACCTCAAACCGAGTTTTCACCTACATTTGGAAACTTCAATACACCTTCAGACAACACCTTCGGCGACATGGTCATCGATACCCAAGACGTCGACATGTCACTACTAGGCGCCGACATGATGCCTTGGGATTTGGAGTACCTACCCCACGATATGCTTTACTTTGGCGATGGCACCTTTGGAAACAATGGCTTTGGAGCAGATGGCGCGCCAGGAGATCATAACACCGGTTGATACCCTCGGCTCTGTCACATATGTATACTAGACTACTGCGTGTGGAGTTTGCTTTTTCCAAGGTGGGATTTCGGTTGTCTCATTATGGAGTGGATCGGATGGCGTATGATACCATTTTGCCACTTTATATACTATATGAGTTGAGATGAAAGTCAATTACCTTATCAATATGCTGTGTCTTAGCTATGCTGCTGTGTTTGCTGACCTCACCCTGGCAACAACTTGAGGTTCGCAGACGTCTTTCTCTACGGGGATATATGAGGCTGGAGGTATTCGCTGTGGTTCAGGAGTGCACGCGCATCTGGCTGAGACATCAAGTCACATCACGGTACCTCAACAAGTTCATGTTCTGAGAATGGAGTATGCTTGTATAGCTCCACGGTCATATGAAAAGTTGGATGTAGAAGGGGGGTTTTGACTAGACATAGTGCTCTGTTGTACTTTCGGATGGTGTAGTCAAAGACATGTAGACGTATCTTTGATGAGTCGATAGCGCTCTAGTGTGCTTTGGGACGGTAGTTAGAGACATGCAAAGGTATTCTTGATCAACGGAATTGTTCTGGTGCGCTTTCAGATGGTGCAATCAGCAGCGATGGTGGGTACACACGTACTAAAACATCCAAATACACGGCATATCCAGGGAGACACAACCCCGTCATACCTTGAAGATAGTTGGCTAATATGGAGGCCGGGAGATATTCAGTGCTCATGGTATCTACAGAGTGATAGTCGCGAAGGTACTGAATAGCACAGGGTACCGTAAAGACGTTGAGAATGAGAAGACTTTTATCATTGAATGCCTCTTCGCTATAACATCTACGTACAGGTATGGCTATGAACACAGTTGAGGTACCCCACGCCCCACCCTCATCTCTCGAAGTAATCGTATACGGAACCCGTTTTGGTCGGCACAAAGTGTTCAAAAGAACACGAGATGACATCGCCGAACGTCTCCATGTCGCGCTTCAGCGCCTTGTCACTTATCGTCTCATACAACTCGGGGTTGCTCCGGACGCGAAGGTGGCAAGTCTCCGCGCCCATGTCATTCTTGTGTTCCAGACTCCTCAAAGCAACGGTGAAGAGGTCAATGCTCAGACCACACTCGGAGAGGTGCTTGATAACTTGGCGCGTGATGCTCTCGAGCGGCGAGACATCGTAATACAAATATCGTTCATCACCCCTAGCGACGAGTTGGAGGTACTTGAGGTGGGGGTAGGCTCGAAGAACATTCGCGAGGCCCTTCAGTTGTGCCTTCATGTGGGCGTCGAGGTTGTTATCTATCACGGCCATCTCGATGAGAGGGCATGCGATGGCGAGGTCCGTGAGGTAAGGGCAAACTACTCCGATGTATGACAGATCGTCATGGCTCATCTCAGAGCGGAGGCTTTGCGTCAGGGCCAAGCTGCGAATGTTATAGTTGACGGGACCGAAAAGGCGAGCCAGCGGAAACCGACCATACTCTGTGACCCAGACGGAAGACTGTCCTTGAGGAGGTTGTACGTTGCTCACTGCCTCCACTTCGTCCTGACGGGCGTTTGGCGCAGACTTGTCGTCGGCAAAGTCATCGTTGGGATCGTCCAAATAGTCGTTGAGGATGCCAGGTAGGCCTGCATACGGACTTGAGACCTTGACGACTGGTGGAATTGTATACCCGAGTGACAGACTACGCAAGTTGCTGGAAGAGCGAACAAGCTGTACAATGGCTTCTTCCTCGTCGGCAGTGATGTGCTGGTCGTGAACAGAGAAGAGGAAGGTCTCCACGTCGGCGGATTGCTTGCGTAGACCGTGCAAGAACTCGGCGTTGCCCATACATCCGTTGATCTTAAGAAGCTTAAGGGAACTGAATGAGAACGTCGCGGGTACATTATCTGGCTCCGAAGAGAGCAATCCTTTGCCGTATGTGGTGCAGTCGATGTAGCTTAAACGTAGCTCCTGTAAGGCAATAGTCCTCGACCAACCCATACCGGCAACAATGGGTCCAAGCGGCAGTGCGGGACGAGGCGCAATAGGAGGTTCAGCAAAGATACTAAAGCCACGTACTTTATATCCGTTGGTTTCCGCGACTAAGGAGCGCCAGAGGCCGACAGGGGCATTCCAGTGACTCAGCACATCCAGCCTTTCCGAGTGATGGCCTGGAGCGTTGATAGGCGCAATCCGCTTCCTCTTCAGAGCGACATGCATGTTGAACGGGCCTGTTTGCTGGAGTATATGTGCCTCGTGGTACTTGTCATCGAGTGCTAAACCGTCGGGGGTAGCGATCTTGTTGTGGTAGTTGATGTGCTCCAGCTGTTTCGCGGTCTTGGGCTTCAGTAGAGTCCAGGGGCTCGTTAGGTTTGCGGTTGCTGCTGCGTTATCGTGCATCGTCGAGATGTTGGTGATGTCGCCGTCGTACCATGTTGGAACAACGATGACTTCTAGCGAGGGAGAACTGGAACTGAAGAATTGCTGGAGAGCTGGCAGGGCCTCCAAGCCGATAGTGGACTCCATTGTGAACGATGCGATGCGTAAATTAGCATCGGTTCGTGGAAACTTGTGGAGTATTGGCTCAAGCCCAACCTTCGATGTAGTCGCGAAGGTGTCGAAGAGTACACTTTTGATGAGGCTGAAGTTGTGTACGGTAGAGCCTTCGATGAGGTATTTCAACTGGGGTAGACTCTCGGGGTCAAGGCAGAATTCCATCTCGTGGTAGAGAGCACTGAGGAAGTAGTCCGCCATATCATGTGTACCAGCGGGGATACCATCACGCTGCTTGAGAACGGATACGCACACGAAGCGCTCCATTAGGTCACATTTGGTGAGCTGGATTACGTTAGCTCGTGTTGTTTGAAAGAAGCGCGGTGAACTTACGTTGGCGGTAATCATGTCCTTCAGCTCTACCGGAAGACGCCAAAATCGCGCCTCAGCGAGGCGGGACAGTTGCTGAGAGTATTTTGGCTTCTTGGTGACGGGCTCAGAGGCAGTGAATTGGAATACAGGCGACTCATCAGCGACGTATTTGCGCTTGGAGTCGCGCGCGAGTTCGTCCATGTTGTGTTGTGTTGTGAGTAGGGTCGAGTCGCGGAGAAAAGACCTGGCAGGACCGTATAGAAGGAAGAAATTTGGGCGAGCTTGGTGGCCTCCGTTTGCTCTTCGAGCACGTGGAGAGTCGAACGGCGGTGACTGAGCGCTGTCCTTCCTCGAAGCCTGCTGATTGGTCGACTACAGACCGCGTCTAGTTTGAGACTTGCCCTTGGGATATGGCTCACTGCGATCGCTGTAGGAAACAACATACAGGCAGGGCCTCTACACAGGATAACCTGCTAGCGACAACTGACAGCATTCAAGTCACATCCGAGCTACCTTTCCTGGTGCATTTCCATCATCGTCTTCATCTTCACCTTCACCTTCACCTTCACCTTCACCTACGATTACATCATCTACGAGCCACGTGACGTGGTCCGTGGAGGCCTAGTGCCTTGGCAGCAGAACCAGTATCTATTGCCTCGCTCTGACCACAGTTCCTTTTCTCTTCTACAACCACTTCTCTTCTTTTATCCTTATAACAAACGCTGTAGTCTGCGCTTCCGTGGAATGCTAGGCATACAGATAGCGGAACCCCCGTTAGTCAGAGATCACCTAGGGCAACATGTCCTCGAATCTGTTAGACAACAGCGTTTGCACCTCAGCGGTCAATCAGAATAAGATCTCCTTATAAGCTTGTGTTCGTACCAGCTTCTTCTTCCATCTTTATCGCCTCGGCCGCCTTCAAGATCTTGTACATGCCTACGGGCTCAATCCTACATGGTATTCGACAACTGGGCTCCGTTGGGCGAACGCGACCTCTCGCATCCCAGACATTACCCTAACTCAGAGCCTTGCTTGTGCAATTTGCCGCGAGTTAGTACCTCCACCGCTTGACCCTTGGAGTCTATATCAACACAAACTAGCATGTGTTCGATGAATCGATCGGGGCTAGTCTACGCGTCGGGAATGGCGGCGTAATGGATTGACGATGATGAGAATAGTCTGAGTCAAGAAGCTACGTTTCCGGGAACAGTGGATAACTTTTTCGTTGGGTCCTGCGGCTTGCTGCTGGCTTGAAGAAGAATGAAACATGCGGCGCGACTGACAATCGGATAGACACAGCTAACACTGCCAGACATGATCAAAGCCGGGCTTACTAGAACAAAATCGGGGTACCTGGTTTCCAGTGTTAGCAAGAGCACCCCATACTGGACAACGTAAACATGCCTCCACAGCTGGCGCCTATGGAGTCCGCATCATTGCTTGGGGAGTGGTGAGGTTCCATTTCCGATGCAGGTTGAAAGCAGTTTGTGATGCGAGTAGCGATCCTACACGCGCAGAATGCAGACAGAGAAGACAAAAAGACACCACACCCGCGAGGAGACTCTGGAGTGATGCCTGGTCATCATTTCATACGTTTGAGCGCGCAGTCCCGCAGCGCGCAGCGGCGTATCGCAACTGCGCATAACCATTTAATTAGTGCATGTCGCGCGACCGGTCAGCTTGTCCAGAGGGCGCAGCCTTAATCGGACGCCACAAGCCGTCTCCTTTGCTTCACAATACAGTACTGTCGTTCTTGTCCTGGAACGCGTCGCGCCGAGTAGTCGCCATCCAAGGCGGGTTCAAAAGGGTTGAGGTTTAGAGCCTTGGAAAGGTGCCCAGATGGCAGTGGGGTAGGCAGACGGAGCCGGCGCTCAGGGGCGTTGCATGTGACGTCACACGCAAAGTCATCATTGTCATCAGCAAAACAATGTCGCTGAAATCCATGGGCTACACGCTCACAGCGCAACTAAGAATGACGCCGCCTGAAGACCAATGTTAAAGAATTAACTTGCCACACGGCTGCCTTGAATCCAAATTCCTATCGTTCTTGCGCACACCTGTTCCGATGCATGCGACGCGTTCCGATTCCGACGCGTCCTTTTCGCGTAATGCAGAAGCTCTTGACGGTATGCATCATTGACCAGCGCGGCCCACCATACCGACACCATCAGGAA